AATTTTCTGCCATTATTTCTTCAAACAGGTTCTCTATTCCTTTCTCAGATTCTTCTTTTTCTGGTATCCCTATGATGTGAATGTAGTTATGTTTCATGTTGTCCCAAAGCTTTCTTAGTCTCTCCTCCTTCTTTTTATTTTTTTTTTTCCAGTTGCTGCTCTGCTTGGGTGTTTTTTTCTACCTTATTTTCTCACTTGCTGATTCAGTCCTCAGCTTCTTCTAGTTGACTTTGAAACCCTCCATTGTGTTATTTCAGCTGTGTCATACCTCATTTCCAATTGACTCCTATGTATTGTTTCAAAGTCTATTTTCATGTTGAGGTAGCTCTCATTAAGTCCCTTATAATTATCATTACGTTGCTTGTGGTTCTCACTAAATTGTTTGAGCACCTTTATTAACATTATATCTGACAAAGTGCTTGCCTCGTTAAATTTAGTTCTTTTTCTGGTGATTCCTCCTTTTCTTTCATTTGAGGGCTGTTTCTTTGTCTCCCAATTTTTGCTGAGCGTTTGTATTTGTTTCTATGTATTAGATCGAACTGCTATGCCTCCCAGAATTTGTGAGGTGGTCTTATGTAGTAGGTGTTTTGTGGATCCAGTGGTGCAATCTCTTAGATTTCCTGGTCAGGGTGACCTGGGAAAGCCCCTTGCTTGTTTTATTTGGGTTTTCTTGTTGTATTTGGTCTTGAATATAATTGTCCCATTGGAGGATGGATAATCTCCTCTCAGGCTGGATGACTATGTGGCTCACTCCCAACCACATTGTGTGAGCTGTTGTGGAGGTGCACTGTCAGAAACTGTCCTCCTTTGGCTTTAACAACCTTCTAGAAGCTACAAGTGATCCATGGTTTGCATCTGTCTCCACAGGACTTGGCTGCAAGCAGGAGGGGCCAATCTGCCCTCTCAAGTGGGTTCGTTAGCAACTTGAGGCACAGGGCTATGTCAGCAAACCTCCCCTGGATCCCTGGGCTCCAACCATGCCACAAGTGTGTCTTTTAAGTAGCAACAAATTCTATGTCTATTCATGGAAGCACTTGTCCCACTTCATAGGCAGTGTTTGAATGTTGTGTTCCCATAGCACTGGTGCTCCGCTCTATTTTATAATAGGACTAGAGGCCCGGTGCACAAAAATTTGTGCACCCGGGAGGGCTGGGGAGTCCCTCAGCCCGGCCTTTGCCCTCTTGCAGTCTGGGACCCCTCGGGGGATGACCACCTGCTGGCTTAGGCCCGCTCCCCAGGGAATTGGGCCTAAGATGGCAATCAGACATTCCTCTGGCAGCCCAGAAGCACTCGGGGGATGTCCACTTGCCAGCAGGGAGCAGGCCGAAACTGCAGTCGGACATCCTTAGCGCTGCTGAGGAGGCAGGAGAGGCTTCCACCACCACTGCTGTACTGGCAGCCATCAGCCTGGCTTGTGGCTGAGCAGAGCTCCTCCCATGTGAGAGTGCCCTGACCACCAGAGGGCAGCTTCTGCATTGAGTGTCTGACCCCTGGTGGTGAGTGTGTGTCATAGTGACCAGTCATTCCCAGTCCTTCTGCTGTTAGGGTCAGTTTGCATATTACCCGTTTACGATATAGGATAGAGGCCTGGTGCACAGGTGGGGGCCAGCTGGTTTTCCCTGAAGGGTGTCCTGGATTAGGGTGGGGGTCCTGCTTGGGTGCCTGGCCAGCCTGGATGATGGGATGATGGCTGTTTGCAGCTAGTCACACTCCCTTCAGGGTGGGGGTCCCACTGGGGTGCCTGGCCAGTCTGGGTGAGGGGCTGAGGGCTGTTTTCAAGCTGGTGGGTGACTGAAGCTCCCAGCCTCTCCTTTTTTCTTTCTTTTTTTTTATTCTGGCATTAATTTACCTTCTATAGGTGTCACTGGAGCTGAGAGCAGGCTCCAGCTCTGAGGCTCTTGCAAGCTGAAAGCAGGTACCTGGGTTTGTTTAGATTCTATAATAGAAATTCTGTTGCCATCACTGGCCGCTCTAAGCTCTGAGGCCGCACTGGCTGAAAGCAGGTTTCTGGGGTTTGTTTAGGTTCTATAATTGCAACATTGTTTCATCCGGAGCTCAGAGCTGAGCTGCGGCAGGCGGGGAACGTTGACTTCCTCCAGCACTGGAGTAAGCAAGCCTTATGTTCATGTTCGCTTCAGCTGCCTGGCTGACAGCCGCCATTTTGGCTGGCAGTTAATTTGCATATCTTGCTAATTAGCCAGTGGGAAGGGTAGTGAAGTTATGGTTAATTACCATGTTTCTCTATTATTAGATAGGACATGTCAGCATCACTGTCCACACATTGCATGTCCTGTCCACTACAGCTCCTAAGGACCTCATTCCAGACCCAGAGTCTGGTGCAGTGGAAGAAGGGAAGCAATCAGAAGAAAGCATTCAGACACAATGCACACACCATGCACAGATGAGGAATTTAAATTAAAATGTGGTGGAATAGGAAAGTTGAGGCTAACTGGACATTCCCGGGGCAGTAAACCATTGAATAAAAAAAAAAAAAAATTAGAGTCATTTCTCATGAGGAGGTAGAGTGTCTGCCACTAACATGGACTGGATAGGAATTCAATCCCTCTAGTTATACCAATGACTTTAATATTACTTCTATAGTTAATTTACCACAAATAATGTGCCAGACACAACGGCATCAATTTATGCATACTATCACTTTATATGTATTTTCACAGTAATTCTCATAATAGTCTTCTCTGTAGAATGTGTACTTCCCCACTTTATAAAATCAAGTCTTAGAGAGGTAGCATGTCCCAAAGTTACCCAGCTAACAAGCCATGGCTACTGTATTTGGGACAGATACAGGCCACTGCTGGGGTGGTGTGGAGAGGGTCTGAAAGAACTGGGGTTTTATAAAAATCTCTCTATATGTGGACAATTTATTTTTATGGTCTGAACAGTCATCAGCAAACTTTTGGTTAAAAACACTTTACTCCTGAAGAATAAGTTATAAATTTGTATTTTAAAACTGATTACAATAAAGTGTGATTTATGCTTATTTTAATTTCAGAACTTCAGTTTTACAAACAATAATTTTAGGTTATTGGTCAAAAAACTTTCTTAATGTATCATTGTGTATACTCAAGCTGTGAATTATAATTTCTTGGTAAATAATAAAAAATGAGTATTTTTGAGTAGCTTATTTCAAATATGACTAAACCCACCCCCATCAAATACCCATTCACCATCATTTCATCCGCATAAAATAGTATATAATGAATCTGTTTAAAATTATAATTAGCCTTATTTTTCTACTATAAAAGTAATAAAATATATTATGCAGTTTTTATAATAAAAATAAAATATAATGTAAAAATAATTTTAATAACACCTCCCAAATTGAGTTCCTACTAACTTTTTTTAAAGACTTATTTTTAAAGCAGTTTTAGATTCACACCAAAATTTAGAGTTTTTTGTATCCCACTTTCCCCAAACATGCATGGCACCCCCTCAACAGAAATACTGCATTTATTACAACTGCTGAACTTAAATGGATACATCATAATTACTCAAAATCTACAGTTTGCTTTACTGCTTACACATGGTGCTGTGCATTCTATGGTTTTGTATAAATATAATGACATGTATCCATCATTATGGTATAATGCAGAATGTTTTCACTGCCCTAAAAATCATCTGTTTTGCCTCTTCATAGTTCCTTCACAATCTCTGGCAAACACTGATCTTTTTACTATCCTCTACGTTTGCCTTTCTCAGAATGCCATATAGTTGAAATCTCACAGTGTGTAACCTATTCAGATTAGCTTCTTTCACTTTGTAATATACACTTTATTTTCTTCCAAATCTTCTTACACCTTAGTAGTTCATTTCTTTTCAGCAGTAAATAATATTCTATTGTCAGGATATATCACAGTTTATTGATTCACCTACTGAAGAACATCTTGGTTGCTTCCAAATTTTGAAAATTATAAATAAAGCTGCTTTGAACATTTACATGCAGATTTTTGTGTATTCATAGTTTTTAACTCCTTTTGATAAATACAGAGGAATGTGATTCTTGGATAGGATGGTAAGAGTATATTTAGATTTGTAAGAAACTGCCAACCTGTTATTCCATATCCCCACTAACATTTGGTATTGTCAGTGCTTCAGAGTTAAGTCATTCTGATAGGTGTGCAGTGATATCTCATTGTTGATCTAATTTGTATTTCCCTGATGACATATGATATGGAGCATCTTTTCATATACTTATTTGCCATCCGTATATATTCCTTAATGAGGTGAAAATCTCTATTAACTTTTTGGCATACACTTTTTAGATTTGTTTACACACACCCATTATATGTGTATCTAAATTACAATTACTTGATCTCCTTTTTTTAGCAATCATAAATAAACATTCTTGTATATAAAGACTAAAATTATAACTATCACCTGCACAAGACAGAGCCAGGGATGGTAAAGATGCAATATATTTGCCCTGTTTCCAAATAGCAAAGCCTTCCTTACTGCGTATTCTTTTCTACCAAAACCAGATAAAAATCTTAGAATCCTTCCCAACACAGGGTTCTTAGACTACAGTACTATTTTGTCAGAGTTGAATAATAGTCTATATTTTCACCTCTAACGTTGAGCCTGAGAGAAGGGGATCAAGCAGCTCTGATTATCAAGCAAAGTAATAAGGAAGACAAATCAGGAGGTATTATTGCAAAGCAACATCTGACACAGCAGATCCTGATCTAGGTACTTGTGGTATTCTCATCCTGTTCCCTCAACAAAACTGACATATCACTAATGAGAGGTTTTGCTTCTGATGATCAGTTCATTTTAACTAAGTGTGTGGTGGTTGCCAGTTCATGAATTATTCCCCTGAGTCTAATTAGGGTGGGTCTAGTCTATATCCTTCCCCTTCAAACAACAGGTCTTTCCAGATGTCGAAACATGCCTATAAAATGGACAACAACTAAGCTGGGAAACAGAACTGGCAGATAAGAGAATATGCATTGATTTTTCTCCTTCTCTCTCTTTGTGACCAGAATCCGATGTTGCTGACTTTGATGGCAGGAGCTCCCTGCTGTACAGGTTCAATCAGAAGCTGCTGAGCACCCTCAAAGACGTGATCTCTCTGAAGTTCAAGAGCATCCAAGGGGATGGGGTCCTGTTCCATGGAGAAGGTCAGCGTGGAGACTATATCACACTGGAGCTCCAGAAAGGGAGGCTCGCCCTGCACCTCAACTTGGGTAAGGTCAGGCTTTCCCCCTATGCAGGTCAGCCTGTGGAAAATTCCTCTTGGTAGCAGATCACAGTCCTTGTCCTTCTAGATTATCAAGTGGAAGTCCTTGGAGCACAATCCATGTTTGAGAAGAAAAATACCACATTTCAAAATGGTTAAGCCATAGATAGCATTATTTACATTTAGATAATATTGGTATGTAAGAAGAGATACAAGCTAAGTGCTGGGGCTTATATTGCTTGATTAAGTATTTATTTACTAGTGGCCTGGTGCACAGATTCATGAATATTGAAAGGAAATTAATTATAAGAAATAGCAACATAATATAACAACAACAAATATATGATATAAAAACAACAAAAACATGATATAAAAACAATGACTGATAAATTGATTAAACTTATTCTAATATCTCCTTGTATACTACTTTCAGAGTGCTTGACTAATTTCACTTGTGATGAAGTATTTACAACTTTAACTTTAACATCACATGATCTTCAAACTCGAGAGAAAGCAACATATAACTGAACATGTCCAAAAACAGGTTCAGGTAGGAATATTCCTACTCTGTCTAGATTGGTGCCAGTGAGAGGTTTATATGTATCCCACATGTGCGAGTCAACGTTTATTTTTAAATTGGAGTGCGTATCATATGTACTGGCCAGTAGGTTGGTCGGATGGAAGGTTGGTCACTAGCCTTTTATATATCCTATCTAATAATAGACAAACATGGTAATTAACCATACCTTCGCTACCATCGCAATTGGCTGATCAGTGGGATATGTAAATTAACCACCAACAAAGATGGCAGCTAACTTGCATACTGCAGGCAGGGTGGGACACTGGTAGTCGCCATCCAGGCCCCCCTGTGCGACCCCAGGAGCTGCGGAAAGCCAGGCTGCAGGCAAGGCAGCCCCCTGGGACCCAGGAGCCTGTTGGTGAGGTCTGCAGGCGAAGCGGTGATCAAGCTATGAGGGGGAGGGTGGGGGGGCGGAAGGAGCTACAGGAGCAGCTCTGGCCAGAGACTGAAGACTCTGGCCAGAGCGAGGAGCAAAGACTGAAGGCTCCAGCCTCAGCAAAGACTGTGTCCAGAGCAAAGATGGAAGGCAGTGGCCAGAATGAAGGTCTGGGTCCTGGGTGCCAGAGGAAAACTGGTGCTGGCAGCCAGGGCAAAGAAGGCCTATTGCATGAATCTTCATGCAATGGGCCTCTAATATATATATATATATACCCACACAGTGGGGCCTTGACTTACAAGTGTCCGGACTAATGAGTTTTTTGAGATACCAGCTGTCTCTCAGCCGATTTTTTGCATTGAGTTGACAGAGTAATTTGAGTTGATGAGCTCCTTAACGAGCTCTTTAAAGAGCTAGGTCTCGGAACAAATTAAACTCGTAAGTCAAGGCCCCACTGTATATATATAATCTACCTATTTATCTATTTATCTGTTGATGTCTTCTTAAAATAATTGACTGATTAAAACACACATGCACACACACACACGTGCACACACATAATATAATGAGGCATTTTCACAATCCATTCTATTTAGTACATTTATGAAAATTAAGTTCCAGGAGAAAAAAGGAAAAGAACATTTTAATTTCTTGGTGTTTTTGGGGGGAGTAAAGGTGTCATGTGTATGAGGAAAAATCTAAGTTGTTGGGCATTCCTGGATCTTATTAAGGGAAGTACTGCTTTCTTTAGGTGTCCTGGCTGGGCCAGGGTGAGCTCTAGACTTGCCAAATGCCGACTACTTGAGTACAGAATGCCCTCTTGTCTTCCACACATGTAGGTCACAGGCTTCTCACTGTGGGTTGGCATCTATAATGGCCTTCCTCACCTCAGGCAGATCTTCATTCTACTGCAATCAACTTCCCATCTTTTAGAAAAAGAGAGGGCTCACCCTCCTTTATATGATCAAAGGTACTTTTGAAGGAATGGTGAGCCAATTGCAGAAGGCGGGAGCAGAGTTCTAAAATATTCAATAAAGAAATCAGAAAAAGAGCCAAGTGGAGGGAAAAAGAAGTGACCATTTTTCTGTCTCCCATTTGATAAACATTTGTATTAAGGGCTGGGGTGGATATTATACCTGTAAAAGGGAATTATCAATCAGTATTTACTGTCAGATAGTAACAAAAAGTCTTAGCAGAATTGAGTATGTAAGTTGAAGTTGCATCAGACTGGGGAAAATCATAGATGAATTTTAGCAATTAGAAGGAGAGACATAAGAATGAAGATTAGTTCAGACTCACCCAAACATTCAGCAGAAATGCATTGGTTCATTAACTGGCCTTCAAATCCCAGGATATATGTATGGCTAAATGAAGTGGAGCCCCTCCCCATTTATAGGTGGCTTAAAGAGCATTGTGGGTGAAATTAGTATCACTTGCCAGTATATCCAGTATCTTCTGTTGGTAATATTAAATCTATCAGTTGAAGCTATTTATATTTCCAATTTATATAACCATTCACCCTCTATAACTTTGTTATCTCAGTGCATGTTGATGGAAAGGAACAGGTGTGGTCATGCAACAAATTTCACTGTAAGTGCAGACATGTGCTGGCTATGTATTATTGGGAAAGTTGCATTATTTACAAGTCTTTTTTATTCATTTCTGATGAGGGCTAATAATAACTATCTTACAGAGCATGGACATAAAAACCACAAAACACTATAAATGAGTAATTTATGACAGTAAATGAACATGGGGAAGTATCAAGAACAGAAGCTCTTAATATTACTCATTTATTCAACACACATTTTCATGTCCCATGCCCTGTGCTACCCCATCCTCCAGAAAAGAGATGGATATGTTGAGATAAACAGGACCTGCTCCTTGTGATAATACATAGAATAAAAAGGAAGCCTTTTTTCCCTCCAAATTTCATCTTTTCTATATTTCTAACTGTGGTGGAAACAAAGTAAAACCTCATTTAGCAAATGATTCAGTAGTAAGAACGACTTCTGTCTGTATTCTTCATAGTTTTGGAGTGCTTTCATATTTTCATCTGCTCATGGATTCGCTCCATTTCTATCGGTTCCCATGGTTTCTTGTATTTACCTGTTTATGCAGTCACTTAGGATAGTTTTTTAGTAGCTCCCTCTTCTAGAGAGATGCGTCCATATGTCAGTACTGTATCTCTCCATATCTCAGTTTTAGCCAGCAAATCCCTGGGAGCATCCACTTACGGGGAATTGCTTTGAATTGCCCATCATAAAATCTCTGTAATTCAGCTTTCACGGGGGCAAGATAAAACTTTGTTTAGGGCACCTACCTGAAGTAGGCTCTTGAGGCAAATGGAGTCCATTGGAAACAAGGGCTTTCCATTTCTGCTGGGGTCCAACCCCAGCGGGTCCAGGGGTCCCCAAAGGTGTGGACGGCGTCGGCGAAGAAGGAATGACGCGGAGACAACGTTCAGTTGATCAGCAGCCTAGCCAGGATCTCCAGCCAAGTTCTGGTCTGGATCTCCAGAGAGGTTCTGCTTAGGATCTCCAGCCAGGTTCTGTAGCCATGTTCCCTCGCTAGGTTCTCCAGCCAGGTTCAGTCATCAGGTTCTAGTCAGGTTCTCTTGCCAATTTCTGTAGTCAGGCTCAGTCCAGGATCTTTTGCCATGTTCTCTCCAGCGAAGTTCTTCTGTCTGTAGGTTCTGTGTAGGTTCTGTCTTCTAAGTTCTGTGTGTAGGTTCTGTCTTCTAAATTCTGTGTTCTAAGTTCTGTGTTGTTACATCTGTATTTATACCAGTTGATTCCAATCCTATCAATCTCTCCAAAGGTTAGGGCGTTTCTTATCTCCATTCCAGGGAGTAAAGATTATGTAGCTTAAGCATGATTGTTCATAGTTAAAGTGATTAATTACCCACCTGGCACTTAGTTAAGAGGTTTTATTCCCTCCCTAACTTCAGGGGAAATCCCTACCTGGGGAAACAACCTTTCTCAGAGACCTTGGTTAAAACACATAGTGCCAAGAAGGTGAGCAAACATATTAAGAACAGTATGCCATATATGCCAGGTCCTTTGAAACAGCAAGGATGGACCGGCTCCCGGCACATTTCAAACATCAGACCTGACACAAATACACACCATTCCTGTTCGACTGGCTCATTACCAAGTCTATTCTCCTAAATGCCTCATGAGCTATTCTCTTCACTACAACAGTGTCTGATATTCATAAATAGTCACAATGGGCTAGAATCCCATCCAAACCTCAGAGCTTGCCTATTAGGTAAGTAAACATTAACTTCAATTTACTCATGTAGAATATTAGGCTCAAGGAGGATAAATCACTTGTTCAATTTGCGCAGCTAGCTATTAGGTGTTACCACTATTAATATCTAGTTATGTCTAACCATTTTTTACTATTATGTTAAAACTAGAGGCCCAGTGCATGAAATTCCTGCGGGGGGGGGGGGGTTCCTCAGCCTGGTCTGCATCCTCTCACAGTCCAGGAGCCCTTGGGGGATGTCCAACTGATGGCTTAAGCAAGCCATCAGTCCGACATCCTTAGTGCTGCCACAGAGGCTAGAGAAGCTCCTGCCACCACCGCTGCATTCGCCAACCCATTAGCCTGGTTCCAGGCTTCTGGCTGAGCGATGCTCCCCTGTGGGAGCACACTGACGACCAGGGGGCAGCTCCTGCATTGAGAGTCTGCCCCCTGGTGGTCAGTGAGCATCATAGTGACTGTTTTTTCTGCTGTTCCGTCAATTTGCTTATTAGTTTTTTACTATATAGGATATAGTTTTATTTATTTCAGAGAGGGAAAGAGAATAATTGGTTGGCTTCCACCTGCATGCACCCTACTGGGGATCAAGCCTACAACCCGGGCATGTACCCTGAGCAGGAATCTCACCGTGACCTGGTTCAGAGGTCGACACTCAACAACTGAGCCGCACGGCCAGGCACTATTATTTTAAGATTATAAAATGTGTCAATGATACATCTAATAAGGAATTGGCATCCAAAATGTATTAGGGCCTTACACAGCTCAACACCAAAAAATCAAACAA